GGTGACCAAGGCTAAAGTAGGTTGGAACATCAGAGAGAACGCGTTTCATGGGCGCTTGCCTTGGGAACATTCGGCGGCGCATTTCGAACCAGGGGGTGGCCCCCCCCAACACTCGGCGCTGTCGATCAAAATCAAGGGGACTCCCCTCCCCCCCATCCCCCCCCCTCTCGATCCCGAATCCCCCCCCTCCAAAAGAGGGGGGGGGTTCAACCCCACCCCCAGCGCCGGCGTCGGAGGCCGCCAGCAGCGCCGACGGCGGGGACGCAGCGACGATGACCAGAGGCAGCCCCAGGGGGGGGGGGATGGTTTCACCCCCCCCACATCGGATACGAGCCAGAGGAGAGGGGCAATCCATAATCACATACGCAAAACACACAAGTTTCGATCCAAAGGGGAGGCACTTCAAAGGCACATGCGTTAAAGAACATACAATTCGAGCCACAGAATGGAGCCCCTGGAAAAGGGGCAATTTGTAGGTACATACGCAAACACACATAGGACTCGACCCCAAGGAGAGGGCCAATCTATAGGCATACATTTAGAACAAACAACAAATTCGAGGGTGAGAAGCACTTGGCGATGGAGCGTGGCCATGGGAGCGTCACGACAGTGGTCTTGGGGGCGCGGTCACAGCGTAATTGTCGATGGGTCGTGGCAGTGGAAGCAGGAATCCTTTGGAATTTACCCTGGGTCGTGGCCCTGTGAGCGCGAGCCTGGCGTGTTTTACAAAGGATTGTTGCCCTGAGAGCGCGAACCCAGCGTAATGTACTATGGAACGTGGCCCTGAGGCCGCGGACACTATGTAATTCACAAGGGACCGCTGCCCTCGGAGCAGGAGCCCAGCAGAATGTTACGAAGGAGCGTTGCCCAGGTCGCGTCAACCCTGTGCAATTTACGATGGATCGTGGCCCTGAGAGCGCGAACCCCAAGTATTTCCCAACCATCCTGTGGTGTTGGGTCCTCGTTTTGGAAATATCCCCGCGACTTTACCTCCTCCTCCTCATCCTCCTCGTCCTCCTCCCTCCTGCTCCTCCTCCTCCTCCTCCTCCTCCTCTTCCTCCTCCTCCTCCTCCTCGACCTCCTCCTCCTCCTCCTCCTCCTCCTCCTCCTCCTCATCCTCCACTTCCTCCTCCTCCTCCTTCTCCTCATCCTCCTCCTCCTCCTCCTCTTCCTCCTCCTCCTCCTCATCCTCATCCTCATCCTCATCCTCATCCTCCTCCATTTCTTTTCCTTATACATAACTTCTCCCTGTCGCACCTCGAGGCTTGGTTTTAGGGTGGGCAAGACGTTTCGCCTGAGACTTCATCACCGCTTATGTCCCTGAAGCTCAAAAAGTGGCAACAGTTTGACGGATTGAGGGCGGGTGGTTTTCGACATATGGCTCTCGCCTCAACGCAGCACACATTCGTTATATACATACATGTACTAGAACCATCGCGCGCGCTTCGCGCGCGCTCAAGTTCTAGCTCGGCTTGATCGGCCAACTCATGTAATCTCATGTTGGTCGCTTCCTGCGTCCAGAGACTCCCTCGGATGCCCTGCGCAAACCTCGGAATCGTATAGAAGGGGAAATGTGGAAACGCAGACATCATTAATCAATTTCCTTTAGGTTTCAACGAGTTGGGGCCCTCAAAGACTTCCTGGGTGCTTTGGTGGAGGGGAGGGGGTCTTAATTGTGGTCTGTTGTGCAAGAGTAGGCCAGGGGCCAAACTTGAAAAACAAAATCCCCAAAAAGGAATTGTGGGATCCCAATGTTTTCCAGCAGTTCCTCGGCGCTGTTCGGCGCTGTTTTTTGTTTGTGCCTCGCGGGTTCTGTTAGCCAGGCCCCTCAGGGGTGTGGGATCTTCTGGACCCCCTGTGGGTTCTGGAGGCCTCCTGGAGGCCTGGAGAGCCGCCGGAAGGGTCTCGGGCTGCGCGGGAGCGTGTTGGGCCGTTCTTTGCGTTCTGGGGGCTCCTTGGGGTCGTCTTGGGCTGTCCTTGGGCGTCTTGGGGCCCCCCCGGGAAGCCGGGAGGCGCGGTACCGGCCAGATGTCAGGGGATGTGCGGGATCTCCGAGTCGGAGTCCCACTTTGTAAAAAAACTGGAATTCTGGGAATTTTCTTTTTTTCATAAAAAAATCCTAGATCTTCGAGGGTTGGAAGCGGGAGAACTTCAGAAGGCGAAAATGGGGCATCAACGATTTTACCCTCTTTGGGCTCTCTCGGGACGGCTCTCGCAGCTCTCTTGGGCCCCTGAGGCCTCTCGGAGGTCGCTGGAAGCCTCCTGCTCCCGCTCTTGTGTCCATTTTGGGCCTGTTCTGGGGCAGTCTGTGGCTGTCCTGGGCGCCTCCTCGGCAGTCTTGGAGCCTTCTTGGCTTGTCTTGGGGCCGCCCTGAGGGTCTCTTGGGTGGTCTTGGGGCGGTCTTGGGAGCCTCTTCGGCGAATTTTGACCATTGGAAGCTCAAAGCGCGAGAAGCCAAAAGCATAAAAAACCATGGGAAATCTACGATTTGGGCCTCTTCGGGCCGTCCCGGGACGCCTCTCGGACCTCTCTTGGGGTCTCTTGGAAGCCAGCTGGGAGCATCGAGAGCCGTCCGAAGGCTGACTTGGGCTGCTTGGGAACGTCTTGGACCATCCTTTCGCATTCTGGGTGCTCATGGGAGGCGTCTTGGGCCCTCCTGGGGCGCTGTGGAGGCTCCCCGGAAAGGCCTCGTGGGCTCCTGGGGGGCGTTATTGGGCCGTCTTGGCCCCCTCGTGGGCCGTCTTGGGGCCCTCTTGTGGGCATCCTCGACCGGCTTGGGTGCCAGTGGACGCCCAAAAGGCACACACGCCAAAAATATCAGTTTACCCATCGGAAATCGACGATGTTTGCTTATTGGGCCACTCTCGGGGTGCCTCTTGGGGCGTCTTCGGAGCCTCTTTTGGTGTTTTTTCGGGTGTCATGGGGCTTCTGGGCCCCTTCATTGGAGCCTCTTGGGGTCTCCTGAGGGTCTCTTGGGCACAAATGCCAAAACTTCCGGTTCCTCGTCCCCGTCTTGGGCGCCGCCTTGGGGCGTTCTTGGGCGGTTTGGGCGCCTCGTGGGCCGTCTTGGCCCCCTCGTGGGCCGTCTTGGGGCCCTCTTGGGGGCACTCTCGACGGGAGTGGGTGCCTCTTGGGCCGTCTGAAGGCAAACACGCCAAACATAAATTTTCCATTGGGAAATCAACGATTTTTGCTTATTGGGCCTCTCTCAGGGTGCCTCTTGGGGCGTCTTCGGGGCCTTCGGGGGCCTTCTTGGCGTCATGGGAGTCGTCTTGAAAGGCGTCTGGAGCCATCGCTGCGGCCTCCTGGGGCCTCCCTGCAGCCTCTTGGGGCCCTGTTGGCCCCGGGTCGCCGAACCCCTGTAAAAACACAGGGAAAACGACGCAAGCCCACATATATATATATATATATATATATATATATATATATATATATATCCGCCGGCCCCCTTGTGGGGCCACCAGGCTGCGAGGCGCGGGTTCGCAGTTTCCTGTACCAGTTGTAGCTTGTAGTTTCCAGTGTTACAGTTCTGCTTCTTGCTGGTTACTGTAACTAGTTGATTGACCGCGCGAGGGGGGGGGAGGCCCAAACGGGATTTTTAGCACCCCCTGGGCGCGTTGTCTGAATTGCTGGGGGGCTCGAAATCAACACCCCTCACGCAGATCCGCGGGGTCAGGGTCCAAAAACACATGGGATTTGCCACATTTCTGAAATTC